AAACAGGGGGAAAGAGAATGAAGGTGTAAGGGTATGAGTGAGTGGAAACAAAAAATCATGGAGGTAAGAAAGGACTAACTTCCTAAAAATGAAGGGAATCTTGGTGAGAGAGAACGTTCTCTTTGATCGCGGCTCTCTGCTCATATATACTAGTCAATTATACTTGTCATCAAGCGGATGTGTGTCAGGGGTAAAATGAATCCTGAAACCCCCCAATATTTGGTTACATTAGTGGATACTATGGGTAGTATAGGACGTGCTTGAGCAGTTTATCTCAGCATTTCACTCTTATTGTACTCGCTGTCATTTAACGCACATTTAAGAATTCAAATTTCCCTTCCCGCGAGGATAACTAACTGTAAGCATCGATAACAATACACTAGATAAGATGGCATGGGGAGAAATTTACGCGTTCCTAAACAAACTGCCCCAAATTTATTGCCCTTCTTAAAAGGGTAAGGTTTCCGCATGTTAGTGAGGGGACTTTACTTGAACGTCTCATGAGTTCGTATTTCTAGGGAAATAGAGTATTGCAAAGTATGCTTATCGTTAACTAAAACGTTACAAATTCTAATTTTTTTTTCTTTGAAATTTTGGTTCAGTTTTATAAAAAGAAGTACCGAAGCTCATCTTATTTAAGGCTCCGATGCGCTCCGGCTAGAATTGTAATTTATCTTAAAAATTAAGAAGTACTGGAGATGGGCTCGGGCGCAACTTAAACACTGATTACAGTTATTCAACTACAGTATAAATTAGTTTTATACAGGGAACAGGCCAAAACGTCGCCAGGTTTGACAACATTTAGAGACTGCTTGCCAATTCTGAAGACAAAAATTAGTCGTTGTAAAAAATTGTCTTGGAAAATTTTGAAACGTTGATTTTAAACTTTGGTGATAAAGCCTGCTTTTGGCAGCCGTCCGACAAATATTACGCATCATACATGCTTTAATGAAAAAAAAAAAGATCACAGGAAAGATCACCAAGAAACGTAAGCTAGGCAATTCGTTTTGCATTTCATCATATATAGAAACTTGTTTCATTTCGAAGCTCGATATATGGATGGTGCATTATTTGATGGAAAAGAATAGGCTGGAACAACGTCTAATGAGACGTCTAATGTCTCGTTGCCTTCATGGCATTGAGCGAAGGTCGTTTCTCGGCTCGATGCCATGAAAATAATATTTTTAAATAGTGCTATAACAGGTGGATCTTGTGCAATAAAAATAGAGCTGAAAACAAGCACATGGAAAGGAAATTGCATAACTCATCCCTAAAGCTCTATTCATTAACAGAGGCCATTGCTTCTGATTACTAGAATTACAGTGGAAAGATTCATTAAAAATGTCCTTTTTAATGAATAATGCAATACACTGTTCAAAAGGCGTATTTCCCAAAAAAAAAAAAAAAAAAAAAAAAAGTCATGTGTACACTTCCTTGTACGGAATATGAAATTATACGCATCTTTCCTGCATTTCATTTAAACTTATTGGATTGAATTAAATCTACTTCGTCGATTGCGCATAAACCACAATAGAATAAAGGCACTCTTTAAAATTCACTACATTTGTTTACTTTGTTTATCATAGAGACATTCTAGCGCTAGGTTATCTTAATAGCGTTCATTTCATTCATTTTATAACTACTTGAAACAAAGCTAAATACTGGTTCATCGCGCCATTACCAGTTCCTCATTTCATTTTATAACTCAATGTACAAAATCTATAACATCTGAAGAATCATCTAATCGTTGCCACATGTTCTATTCAAATACTATAATAAATCTAAAACGACGGATAAAAGAAATTAAACAAACAACAACAACAATAAAATAATAATAATAATTAAAAAAATAACAGTTTTTTCACAGATGATTCAGTATTTCTCATTCAATTCAGTTCTCACTTCGCGACAATGCAAAAGTACATAAAACTGAAAATATCTATATTAAAAATTACAACGTAAATCTTCAACACTTATTTCCTCGAATTAAATTCCAGAATGGATTAAACACGATTTAATTCGCAATACTAAAAGAAAGCGTTATCTTTGTTGTAGCGAAGTTTAGTTTCCCTATATTGGCAACAAATCCAATATTTTGCTAAGTTTCAAATGTAAACAAATATGGCCGCTATCGTAAAAATAATTAGGCTTAGCCGCACTTAAACAACTTTTAAATTGTTGCTAATTCTACAAATATTGCATGCAGATTTAATAAAGGCATAAAAACCTTAAACGGAAGAAAATAACAATATAATTCAATCATTTTTAAAACAAAAAAATACACAATTTACAAACATATAAGAATAAAAAAACTGAGACCACAGAGCCCGAGTAACAGAGTGGATATATATATTTATATACTTCTGGTGCGGCCGACTGGCAACCAAAATAAGAGATGCACATCTACATGTTATATAGCAGTTCTACATACAAAATTTCAACGTTCTGAGGCTATTCGTTTTTGAGTTATGCGAGATATATACATAACATACGTACATACAGACGTCAAGAAAAATTCTCGTCAGAATTCATTTTAAATCAGTTTCATAATTTTTTGGGAGAAACGAATCCTTTATTCTGTCTTTACGTACAGATGTCAAGCAAAAACATAGTTAAATTGCATTCGATAGCGGTCAAAATGGAAATTTTTCGCGATTACAATACTTCCTTTTTACTTCGTACAAGGAAGTAAAAAAGAATATGGAAAACTTCCCAGCTTCAGATTTCCATCTCTTCCAGCCTCTTCAAAAAGCTCTGAAAAGGAAGACGCTGTAAGATATCAATTAAAAGCTTTCTTTATAGAAAAATACCACTCCGTTTTTTCTACAGCGAAGGAATCTACAAGCTTCTAAACAGGATCACAATTGCACAAAAAGAGTGAATAAGCATAACTTATAAACCTATTGTTGCGTGCGTACGTGTCCGTGATAGATTGAATGCCCAAATCCGATAAAAAGTTAATAAAATTTATTCTTATCATAAGAAACATAACAAAACGCTGGATTTTTCCTCGAAGATCTTCGTACAATATCACGCAATATAATCAGTAGCTATATTTTAAACTACTAAAACGCTAAATCGAACGCAATCCAAAGCGCAGAGAAAGCTAATCCCGATCTCACCGCGAATTCGCTACAATCAACAACAACAGCTAATAAACAACTACTGAGCTGAGACAAAGAACGTCTTCATACAATACATATTCTTTGGCTGAGATATCTATATCATAACACAATTAAGAGGCAATCGGCCTAAGTGCGTCCTTTACCAATATATTATAAATAGAGTGTCTTTAATGATGAGTTGAATCCCGTAAGATGGAACGTACTTTTTGCACCTAGTGCAGTCTTTAGAAGAGAAGTAAACGTGGCCCCACGATGTAAGGATCTGCAGCTTGAGGATTTCTGCCGCTCGGCTATGCTTGTCTTGAGAGAAACTGCGAATTAATCTTGATCTGCAAAGTTCAAAATAATCTAGATGGCTTGAAAAGCTAGACAAAGTTTCTGCATATTTGATTTAGCTGATTTAATTCTCTGAGCTAATGTCGTTATTTTGGCTGAGATGTTCTCTCTCATGCTTTTTATAGCTTTTTAAATCGGCCGCACCAGATAGTTCTAGCACATTCTGGAAAGCAAAAGGTGTAGAATTACGGTTACAACTAACATAGCAGTTAATTACATTTATTCAAATTGAATATAAATTGCGGAGATAAACTTTTATTCAATGTTAAATGTACGTGCTCTTGTATTTTTACTTTTAGCTTTCTTATAAAATCTGTCACGCGCTGCATTGCAGAAGGAAACAAAACGATTTTAATTATAATTCTATTAAAAATATCGAACTAAATACAAAATTCGTAACACTATTGTTTTCAGACGTAATTGCGTTTCTCAAATCGGACAGCATATTTTCCAGTCTTCGGATACGTAAATATGGAATCGATTGAAACATCTATGATAGAAGCACAGAATCAGACTCATGGTCTTTGATTACGCCAATAAAAACTTTTAAAGATCATATTAACCGAATTTATGCACATTTCATAAAAATATACATTGATAATTCTGAACACATTTTGGGCGCTTATCTTTAACATTTTATTGTTCATACTTATCTGAAGCACGCATGGCCTTATTCTTCAATATCCCTTTTGTTTGTTCATTATTAGTCCAAAGGTGCTTTGTCCCTGAGGAACTATTGTTTTCGTTCAGCGATTTTGCGTGGAATCACTCTGAATGTCCGTTTCACTTTTCAAACTGTTGCCACCAAATATTATCGCGCTGTATTATATTTGAAGAAATTAAATAAGGAAGAATCTGCATAAATGTATGCATGTTTCTCGCGTTGTGATAGAAGAACGGTACCTAGAGCCATCCAATTTTGAACGTCGTAATTCTACTGCGAATATGGTCATCTCGAAGCCCAAATTTGAAATTTGTTTTATTACCGATTTCATATTTTGTAAAATTTAACGAATTTTTGATTAACAAACTCAAGGATTTCAAAGCGAGCAATGGCAACGTTGTATAGAAAAAGCATTTTTATATCCAGTGCGTGAGACTGTGTGTCGGAAATTCTAAAGATTTGCTTACTTCAAAATTATTTTGCGATATTGTTCTTGAACTGAATTTTATGGTTTAAGTGCGAAGAGCATGCTTTTTAATAAATAAAATTAACACACAAAATGTTAAAAAAACGCCCCATTGGATGTAATTTAAAATCTAAAAATCCTTCAATTTTGTTGTTGTTGCCGCTATTAAGTTTGTTTTCTATTTTCTTTTCCTAAATTTTGAAAATGATTTTTTAAAAATGCAAACTGCATTGTTTAGTTCTAGTAAACCACAAAATTAATGGAGTTTTTGTTATTACACACATACTGCACGAGCATTTTCATACAGCTGAAAGCGCGAGAAATCGCGAGTTAATCAGTTAAAAAGAGGTTAAACGAGAAACTAAAATTTAGCTGGTGGATATTTTGTAAATAGTTTGTGATACAAAGTTTAATTATATTAAGTCTATAATGGAGCATCTGTTTTTAGATGATCAAATTACGGTTCCTGAAGAATTTCCTTTCATTTTAAAAGATTATGCGAAAGCTGCTATTCGCACGAATCCCAACGATTTACTGGAATTTTCAGTTAGGTAAGAGACCTTTTTTTTTTTTTTTTTTTTTTTTTTTCCCTGGGGGTGTGTGTGTGTGTGTGTGTGTGTATGACAGTCTGAATATGTGTACATTTGTTTACAATTTAAATACACTACATTCCCATATTAACAATTTTCTACATGGAAATATCGATATAACAGAATATCGAAGTTTAAATAACATTAGTTAATTCGCGGAAACATCAAATGAACTAAGCTTGACAACCAAGGAAAAGCTTGACAATTTTAGCTGGACACATTGAACACAGAAGACAATAAAGACACAAATCTAATGAAACTTTAGTAGTTTTAATATGCCTTTTACACAAAATATACAACAAAAAAGGAAATTTACATATCAAGAAAGTATTGGCAAGATCATACAGCAAAATGCAGAAACAAAATTTAATACTTTGTATTCATACCTTTTTCATCTATAAGAGTTTGCTATCCATTTCTCATACAGAAAAACGACGAAAGTCCTGGTTGTTGAAAAAGTCCTGTTGGGAAAAACCCAGGAGGAGTATACGCTTAAGTTCATCTTTACACGAAATTTTGTTTCCTGCCTTCTAGGTCCAATTTGTGCCATACATTTTCAATTGAATTTATGTCAGGCTATTGAGACGGTGTCTTTAACTGGCGAGGAGCGTTATACAGTAACTAGTGCTAGATGAGGTTCACTGTATCCTTAGAGTCATTGTCCTGTTGGAATACAAATGATGTTCCTATGCAAAGTTTTTGGGACACTGAATTTCATGTTATGGCGCAGTATGTCAATGTCCGTGCGTGCTGTCATAATACCATCAGTGAAGCATAGGTTAGCTATTCCGTTTGCTGCCATACTGCTCCAAACTACGACGCTCCCTCCAACATGTTTTACAGTCTTAAATGTTGTTTTCCCATTTCGGTGTTAGGCTTTCTCCACTCATATTGTCGTCCATCACTCTCGAAAATGTTAAACTTCGATTCGTCGGACAAAAATAATAGTGTTCCAAAATTCTTCTGATAAATTAAAATGATATTTTGAAAAATCTAATCCCTTTCTCCTGTTTATTTCTGAAATGAAAGGTTTCCTTTTAGTTGCCCTTCCATAGCTTCCCCATGTCAGACATTCCGTATAGTCTATATGTTACCGGCAAAGTATGAAACGCCGGCATTCTATAGAATGCCTAGGCATTGTATATAATGCCGGATGATTTTAGGCAAAGTATGAAATAACAGAATTATTACATACTTTACCTAGGCATTGTATAGAGTGACAAATGCTCTTTAGGCAAAGTATGAAAAAAAAAGAGGTTATGATAAGGCTATTATTTTAAGGACGTTCATTCCTCTAAAATACAAATGTTATTTTGAAAAATTAATGAAATAGTGCCATTAAAAAAACTGTTCTTCGAAATATGTAAAAAAAAAGAATATACTGAGGTGATTTTAATACAGCGTAATAAATTTGTATTTTCTATCTGGCTGAGACTGGGAATCGGTAAGATCTACCTGACAACGGAAGTTCAATTCAGAAACAGTCATGTGTTTCATAACAATGTCCTTTTTAACAGCGCCGGCTCTTTGATTTTTCTGATGTGGGGCAAAAGCTAAAATTGCCGCCCTCGCCATCATCTTTTAAGTTTCTCTAACAATTTTTAAATTTGTTTAAGTTTTAAATTTGTTTAATAAATACATAAATAGGTAGGGTTTGAGTTAAAACCTGAGCTCCATTTTATACTAAATTCCTTACGTGCCTTTTTTTTTATTATTATTATTATTATTAAGGAAAACTACGTACCAAAGTTACATAATTAGAAAATCGTCCCCGCCTAGGAGAACCGCCTTTCTGGTGAGCTTACTTTCGGATTCAATCCTAATCCTAACTCTAATCCTGAAGTGCTTCTAACCCTCCAGACCTCGAAACCATTCGTTTTTTCGCTCTAGGGAGAAGGGACATCTCCTAAGCTTCTCACTAATCCGTTATTGCATACTGGTTAAATTACATTAGGTTAGATTATATGAATATGGAAAAGACAGGAAGGCTATCTGCTTAGAGGAGAGGTGCTTTCGTGAAGGAACTTTTTAAAGGAAACTGGCTCGTATTCATGTTATACATGAGGAAATCCACGAAAGCAAATCATACAGCCAGCCCGTTCGCTTGGGTTTGAACCAAAGCAAGGTCGAACTACCAGTATTCAACGGTCTCAATGACTCGGCCACTGCTGAGGACATTTGTCTGATTATTTACAATGTGTTTCGCCATTAAGCACTGCAGCGAAAAGGAGGAATGTCCCGTGGAAAAAAAAAAAAAAAAAATGTAAGGGAAACTAGCTCTTATATATATTACACACACAGGGAAAATCATGGAAATGCTCATATAGCCAGCACATTCACATATACTTGACCCTCGAAACAAACTACTAGTGCTCAGCGCCTTTTTTTTTTTTTGCTCAGCCACTAATGGGGCCATTGCATACAAAATATGGGCTATTGTGGAAAGGAAAAATTCTGAAAAGATTATACTGCATTTGGGCTATCACTCAGAGTACATTTCATAAGTAATTATTTCATAACTAATTTTAAGTTCTTAACTGCCTTAACGCTATTAAAATATCACGGAATTTAACGAAAATTAAAATTTTACTCTGTAAGCCTTTTGCTCTGCAAATAAGTGCATGGAATCGGCATAAATTGCTGAAACTTCGATCTGTTCGTGATTCGTCCTCAAACAGTTCATCCATCAGATTGCTTTTTGTGCTGTGGAATTTTTTCTTCGTTAGAATAGACTCAACTGCAACTTTTTCGGCTACTGTTTTAGACTCTTGTATCCAATACTCCGTAGGATTTTTCTATCATTTTTTATAATTCCTCAGTTTTGGTCAGTTAACCTCAGTTTCGTTAACTACACAGAACGCGGAAGAGGAATAGGTTTTGAATTTCTATATTTACTCGATTGAATTCTGGAAAAATATTAGCTCAAATTTTCAGGTTGATAGTAAATTCAAAATTTTTCACAGCATGTACCAGATGTCCTACCTCGTGCTTTCATTCCGCATCAAGAGAAATATCTTTAATTTCTTTTAAAAATTTTAATATGTCCGGTAAATTCATTGCAAGGACTTTCACAGCCACATATTTTGCCGACCATCTTGTCTGGCTTCCTTTTAAGTTGTATTTTGTACATTTTTTCATAATATACCATCGAGTAGTGCATCCGACAAAAAAAGCGAAGTATTTTCCGAGTAATTCCAAACAGATTAACTGCTTCCGGGCACGAAAGAAGCAGAATTGCCACCGACAAGGTACGAGGGAGTGATCCAAACATGGCACAAATTCTTTCAGCTTATTTATTTCTGTAATCCTATCTTGTACTGTTTTAGAAATGCCAGCCATATTAGACCCGTTCTTTCCTTAACTACACAGAACGCAGAAGAGGGATTTTCAAGTGTGAGAGTAATGAGACACCGACATTGTCCAGTGTCTAAACCATCAATGTCTGACACCAGCAATGTCTGACACCGACATTGTCCAATGTCTAAACCATCAAGTGTCAATTAAGACACTAATTTTCTACAATGCATTGAGAAATACATTCTCCTATCTTTCCCCCAACTTCTATGAAATCAATTAAATTTTCCTTTATCTCACACGCATCACCACACGTTTTTACGCATTGAATCACCTGGTTCATTTTTTTTCTGTATGAGACACATATGGAGTGCAATCGAGCACTATTGGGCAGTATTTGGGCTTCTTTAATATCGTTTAAAATGGTACTTCATACTGTTTTGCCTTTAAGCTAATAACTTCCTTTTGAATTATCTTTGATAAATATGATTCCTTTACCTTTGTTTGGTGCTTTGACTAGTACTTAAGAGTTGAATTATGTTTAGCAAGCGGAGAGATTAAATTCAGAAAGTTTCCTTCGCTAGGTCGAAGACACTTTGTGAACAGGTTACTTGGGATATCATCAGACTCAAGAAAAGAACGACACTTCGTTGAAAGATACAGTACCGCATCCATGACTATATAGAATTTCTCTCCACTCTCTTTTCTTTCTCTGTGTGAATGAGTCGCTCAGTGTCGTGATCGATGCCTTGGCAGGATTTCATTTGTTGTACTCGAATTTTCCACCTAATGATGCACCTCTGTGGATTCCAGACGCCTCGTGTTCCTTTAAAAGGGTTCTTAATATTTAATTATAAATCTTCTTAAAAGAGGTTTTTAAACTTGGCCTTAAAACTATTAACATTATACTAAAATTAGAGAGCTGTTTTAGCAAACAACATACCAAATACGATCCAGCGTTATATTTGAATTTGCCGCCTAAAAAAGTTGCCGCCCGGAGCAAGATACCCGGCTTGCCCCCCGCTAGATCCAGGTCTGCTTTTTAATACCTTTTTGTTTTTTCTGACAGGGCTCACGAAGATAGCTGTACAGTTCAATATCATTACGCGTAACATTTTTGTATTCGGTTGAAAGTTTTTTCGACATTCTGTCACGCTGTCCGTGTCCAGTACTCAAATAAGTTTTCATGAAGTAAAGGAAATAACATGAAGTATGGAACTCAATACTGCATAGTACTGACGCTTTATTTAACAAGATAAATGAATGTACTTTTGTTTTCCACAAACTTCACAACGTAGCCATTCGGCGGCGAGTAGTCCCGTGGTTTGTTCTTAGTACAGTCAAAAGTCGTTAATTCGGACACTCATAATCCGGAATGATCTATAATCCGGACTCCAAAGCTAAAAACTTTCTGCGCATGCGCCGCGTTGACGCATGCGCATAGGCGTTTATGCGTGTGCGTAAGACCTTTACGACTGCACATATGGGTGTGCGCAAGCGCAGAATACGTTTTTGCGTGCGCGTTTAATGTATAACGGACGGTATAAGCTAAAATTATCTAATTATCCATTTCAGTTAATGTTAATGATTGCGTTGCTCCTTAATCTTCGAATTGGATCCGGCTTATTATTTTTTGCAGACTGTAAGAGCAATTTTATAAAAGTAAG